AAAAAAAAATACTACAGGCACCCCTGTTAGTAAAGTACTAGAATTTCAATCACTAAGACTGAAGCACAAACCTCTTGGACAGTCAGTACCACACAGCAAGCTGTAGTGTTTGTTAACTGATTCCATTAAAAGTCCTCCAAAAGGGACTGGCATCTTGACATAGATTTGGTGGGTGTGTCTGCATGTATGTAGTGACTGCAAACAGGAAAAGCAAGTATGTCAGATTTGATCTGTTCTCTCATGTCTCCAAAGTTTCTTGCGGAGAAGTTAAGAATAAGTAAAGATGTTAATCTTATCAATGCTAATAATAGTTCGCTGTCCAACTTAATAGTCCCACTCAGTGGATTAAAATTTTATGGCCTATGTATGGGGTTTTTCTTTCTTTTTATTTTTTTTATATGATTAAGTTCGAGCTGGAGTTGGACAGCACAGTGGTTAACACTGTTTCCTCACAACATGAAGGCCCTCAATTCAAACCACCATCTGGCCGGGGGCTTTATGAGCAAAGTTTCTGTTGTTCAGCCTAACACTAACCCTCTGTGTTCCAGCTTCCTCTTACACTCCACAGTTAGTGGGGTTAGGTGAATTGGTGTTTCTAATTTAACCACAGATTTGAATGTGGGTGGGACTGGTCATCTGTCTCTCTATGATAGCTCTGCATCAGACTGCCGAGCTGTCCAGTAATGTACCCTGCCTCTTGCTCTATGGTAGCTGGGAATAGACTCCAGCCCCCCTGGATCACTGTATTTGATATGCGGAGGAAAGTGGATGGATGGAGTTATTTGAGTTAGTCAGTGAATTATTGTAGCCCTAGATATGAAATGAATTCACCCACCTTATGGCTTCTGTACAGGAGGAACCCACAACTGGAATAGAGGAACACATTTTTTTTTTTTTTTGGCACTTTCAGGGTGTCTGCTTTTTTTTTTTTTTTTTTAAGTCTCAGAGGTTTTCCCAAAATAGGCTGATTATTCATTACTTATAGCTATAATAGGCTTTCAGTAATGAATAGCTTTATTCTTGATAAAGAAAGATATGCAGCATTAAATCATACTTTGTCCCTAATCACTTTTACATGTAAAAGCCTTTTTTTTTCTTTGCAGTGAGTAATGCAGCCCATCACATACACCAGGAGAACACAGACATCTGCAACAAGCTCTGAACTTTCCACAGTGTCTTGCATGTTGTAATCTTTGTACTTTCTTTTTCTTTTCTTTTTTAAAGGCTGGTGATGTAACTTTTAATCGTGCCAAGTTACTAAATATTGGATACCTGGAGGCACTAAAAGACTACAACTGGGATTGCTTCATCTTCCATGATGTGGACCTGGTACCTGAAAATGATCATAATTTATATGTTTGTGACACGCAGCCCAAACACTTGGTGGTTGGCCGCAATGTAACGGGATACAGGTAAGAATGACTAAGAGGAAATTTACTGTAAGTCATGAAGAGTCATGGAAAAAAGCAATGCTTTGTTTTTCCACATGTGCCATTCTCTTTCCTATGATGATACATTCAGAGGTTTTATTGTCTTTAATTTTTTTCTCATGTTTGTTCACTTTCAGGCTGCGTTATAAAGGCTACTTTGGAGGAGTCACTGCCTTAAGCAGAGACCAGTTTTTTAAAGTGAATGGGTTTTCAAATGCATACTGGGGCTGGGGTGGAGAAGATGATGACCTTCGCATCAGGTGAGGCATGAATAAGTGAAAACATGACTACATTTTAAACATTGCTGGTAGTACGTATTCATTCAGCATGCATGTTTTTGTCTCATGCAGGGTTGAGCTACAGAAAATGAAGATCGTTCGGCCGCCCGCTGACGTAGCTCGCTACACGATGGTGTTTCACAAACGAGACAGTGGCAATGAAGTAAACCGGGACAGGTCAGTAGTGTAGAGATGGCAATAACGTGTGTGTAGCATGTTACAGGTCATTTCATAGTATGGATTTGTGCTTTTCAGGATGAGGTTGTTGGGTCGAACACCACAGTCATGGAGGAAAGATGGACTCAACAGCTGCTCATATAAGACTTTATCAGTTGAGAGGATGCCTCTCTATGTGAATGTTACTGTGGACATTGGCAAGCCATTAAGTTGAAGTCTTAAATAGAAAGCCTTCCTGTGACCAAAAATACTTTGCTATATTTACAGATACCAGAGTGCAGGAAAACTGCTACACATGCAGAAGACAATATGTTGAGCATGCAAAATGCACATTGTTTTGATTTAGTTTAAATACTAGAATCAAATTAAACCAGCAGCTGCATTCAGAGTTAGCTGAAACATTTGAGTTACGTCCAATCTTCATGGTGTTACCAGCATGCAAAAAAACCAAAAGATTTTTCTGACAAGGAAAGTTTAGCTTTTGTCAGAAAAGTATCCAAATCCCTCATTTGAAATTGTCTAAAGCATTAAAAAGTCATATATGATAGTTAAAATCAGTGCCCATTTTTCTTTCTCCATTTAAATAATCTTTGTGCCTTACAATGGCTAACTACACATTTTCCTCATCAACCTTTATGAGCTTATCTACTATAAATATGCAACTTAGTCCCGACCCCGGCATTTCACAGTTGGCTGCTAGGTTGGCAGTTGGCTAACTCTTGATTTATGAGCATTCCTCAACTCTGCTCTTGTGAGAGACCCGACTCGGGTCCACACCTCTACAGTCTGTCAAGTTAAGAAGCAGAGTAAAAACAAATGCTTAGGGGAGAGAAAATATCATGGCGGACATCAGTATTGACAGTGCCAGGAGCACACTGGATAACTGCTTGGTTCTGGTAAAACTAAACTGTGTAGATGGATTTACAGTCATTGATATTTATTACACATTTATTACATGTAATAAGTTCCCATCAATTCGAGGAACACTGTCTTCACCTGTCTGGCCTACCCTCTGCTTTATCCGTGTCTCTGTAATACAAGCCGAGCTCAGCAGAGACACATACACAGTGCAGCAGTGGAGAGGAGGAGTGCAAGTAAAGTAAACCACAGAAAACAAACTGATGGCTTATAATGTGCTGCTACTGCTGGATAAACCTCTTCTTATCTGCAGCTCTGCCTCACCCTACCTGGCAATTTCAAATATTTTGATAGGGCTTCAGCTGCCAAACATTGATTAATTTACGCTCCTGCCTTAACATTTGTTAACAGAGTGTATCTTGTGTTTTTATTATGAGTGCAATATCATATAACTCTTCCTACAGTTACAGTTTGGCAGTTACGATTGTTATGATTTTTTTTTTTTGACATGCATCTCAATCTAACACCTCTTAGATGTTTGCTTCCGTTTTTCCACTCCACTAACCCAGCACGTCACAGTATATTTCCCCCCAGCTTTAACTTTAACTTGAGCAACTGGCTCATGAGTCAGATAACTGAGAAGACATCTGACACAGTTAGTGTTCAAGTCTGATAGCGGTTGATTATTGGATTATGAATGTAATGTGCACTAAAGCTGTATTATTAATTTTGATACATCCCCAAATTACAAACTAGCTTAAATTACTACTTAAAAAGTCATTTAAATACAAAAGCACAAAGTGCCTAATAAACAGCACACATTTAAATCATCATTTAGTTGTTTATAGATAAATTACACCTGTATTTATGGGATTCAACACTTGGTTTCTCACTTTTCTAGCAAAAACAAGGACATGTTTGGAATGTTAGTAAAATCACAGTAATCATAGTAATGATGCTATCTAAGGTCTTCCTTATTCTAAATTTGGCAGCAGTATTCTAGCGTTTGTATGCTTTTTATGCTTGCTTTGTTCAGTGAGTGGTAAACAACAACTTTAAGTTCAGCATGATAATCGTCTTTTTCACCACTACTACATCAGATTAAGCAGAAAGATTAAAATCTCATGCAATAATAATATATAAAGGATTCCATTCAGATATGTCATTTTGAAAATGAAAGGACTTAAGAGTTAGGAGTTAGGAAAAAAACAGGGTGGTGTAATAAAGGAATTCAAAGAGTTAATTATACCAGTCATTCTGAAAACAAGTATAGGACAGTAAGCTGCCTTATTATCACGATTGCTATTGATGAAACCTGTGCATTTTCACACCATAATACTGTGAATATTGGTCACAGTATTATGTCAACTATGCTTAAGTTGTGTTTTTAGTGCACACTGTAAGCTCCTCTAGGATCACAGTAAATCATCCTACATTAAAATTGCTATGAAAAACAGATTTGCAGCATTAATACACACAACTACAAAATTAGTCCCATGAGCCATGTTTAGTGATGCAGCATGGTTCTTATAACGACTAACATGATTTTTATCTAGTAGAAAATGTTGGGTGGTGGATTATTTATTATTATTATTATTATTATTATTATTATTATTATTATTTACTGGCATCTCAAACTGGAGCAAATTGCATACGTGCTTTGATCATTGCATTGTTTGATACACAAATTTGTCATGTTTTTTATTTGAATGCAAGGTAGTATAGCTGTGAACTTGCTATTAAGATATGTTCTTATTTGTATCTTTTTCAATGAGCAATATTAGTAACTATACTGGGATATAGATTACTTCTGCTGTTACATGATTGTGAGTTACAGGTCGCAATGAATTTTGTGTGTGTGTGTGTGTGTGAATTCTTGCACTGCTGATGAACCAACTACTCTTTAAATCTGCGGTGTGTTGTAGCCATTATGAATACAAGTTCTCTGTGTTGGTGGCCATACTGTCTGTTATTGTAGTTCTATTTCCACTCCTTGATGAATGTTATGTATGTTTGTTTGTTTGTTTGTTTGTTTGTTTGTTTGTTTGTTTTTATATGTACTGTGGTTTAAAATCTTTTATTTTATATGACTGAAACATTTGAAGTAGTTACATTTTCAACTGTAACTTGATCAGGACTGACAAAATCATGTTGTGATATTGTAGCATTAAGAACCTTAAACTTAAATTCTCTTGAATTCAGTTTATACTTTGAAATTCAAAGTAGTTTTATTGTGTAGTTTTTGTGTTTAGAATTTTGTTTTGGATTATGGGATTTCTGAAGAAGAAAAGGGATACAATTTGACTTGAAATGGTATTTTCTCTTTAGACAACGTAATAAAAATATTTTCTCTTATGAACAGTTTTATGATTTTTGTTTCAGTGTTTAAAATACAGTTTGGGATCATCTTGTACAATATACTGTATTGTTTAATTTATGGGGAAAAGGTATTTCTCTGTTTTAATATAAAAAATACAGTCTGGCTAAACTAATAATACAAAACCAGTTTTCTCATCTTTACTAAAAACACTCTTTTATCATTTACTGGCTGAAAAATTATAAAACCTTTAGATTAATGAGTTGTTTATTTCCAAAAAAGGAGGTGTGTCAAATAAGGGTGTGAGAGTGGAGGTATGGGTTATAGACAAGTTACTCTAAATGGAGCAATTTTAAAAAAAAAACAAAACTGTCTGCTTGGAAAGCCAGAAGGAAAGAGTGATTCACTTATCAGAACTTAGAAATTATGTCAATATTTTTTATGGTAATTCTATTTTAATGAAGAGAGAGAAAATATCAAATGCCTCCCCCAAAATTCCAAGGTTATGAAAAGATTTCCAGAAGGACACATCCCCCAGCATGCACCTATTCCAGGAAGGCAGTACAATACAATAAAAACTAAAACAAACAGACTGGGGGAAAAAAGTACATTTGCCAGGGTTGTTACAATAGTAAGTAAACAATTAATGAACATCCGTTTGAACACCTTACACGAACCGGGACAATCAACAATTACTCAAACACGCATGCATTTATTTATATTTTTATGTTGTATTTATTAGATACTCTTGATTTGTGTGCATGGAATGAATGATTCTGATTATTAGCTAGAATTATGGCTCCCCCACATTGCCACACAGAATACAATCAATCACAATACTTCTGATCTCAACTTAACTTATGTTTATAAAGCACAGCTTCCTATAGAATCAGTTTATTCCAGTCCAAACTCAATCTTCATGGGTAAGGCCAAAGAGGTCATGAGATCATGGAGTGGCCAGGCCAGTCTGCAGACCTCAGTCCCATAGAACATCTGTGGAGGAAGCTGAAGCCTGGCTAAGAAAACTAAAGGACTTCAAGTTTCTGTAAAGAGAAGTACACCAAAATCCTTCCTGAGATGTGTGCAGACCTGGTGACCAACTTATAACTTCTATGTATTGGTTTTTTTTTTTCTGGATTTTTAGTTGGTTTAGTTTATTTGGTTTATTTATTTTTCTTGCCATTAAAATTAAAAAGTCTCTAATTTTGTATTAGTTTATTTCTTTTTAAGTGAGCAAACTTACAAATTCACCAGGGGATCAAATAATTATTTCCCGCACCATAAATATGCACAAAGCTGGAAAAGACTTCAAAGGCACGTCTGGAGAGCAGAGTGTTTATCAGTTTCACAATAAGACAAATTATGTACAAATGAAGGGAACTCGGGCCTGCTCTAAATTATTTAGTAACAACAGTCTGCAAAGATCTTATGCAGTGCACGCCATGCACATCTGAGCGAAATGAAAAGCTGAACCTGAGGATAACAGGAAAAACAACTGTGGAAAATAATTAACCAAAAGCAAGTGTTGATCTGCAGCTCATCTCAAAGGACGAAGGAAGGAAGCTTTGCTTTTTGGAAATGATTTCTAACGTCATATTTGGAGGAAAAGTGCACTGCACATCAACACAAAATACCAAAATGTCCTTGTTTGGGCCTCCTGTGATTACCACAAGACCCCGATCTTATGCACTGGTTAAAAAAAATGGGAACGGTCAAGTCAAAGTACTATTAGGCACTTAATGTTCATAATTAATAAGAAGGTAAAGAAAATGCAGGTTATTGCTACTAGAGGTCTGTGAGTTGCCAGAATCACTGCCCTACACAGTGAACGGTCACTGAATGTGTTCAGTAAAGACGTGCAATGTCCAGCTGTTTGTGACGCATTCAATTTTGTACATATCTATGCATATTTGTTGTAACTGTGCATTACATAAGAAGCACAACCTCACTGTGCAACTTGCTGTAGTGCAAAGATTTGACCAGAGGAGGGCGTGGAGAGCACAACTTCCAGTTTAAAGAGGACATCTCAAGGTATTTAAGAAAATTGCATTTATTGCCAAACAACTGGGACAGTGGCCTCAATTCATTATAATAATAATAACAGGATTAAGTATTTTGGCTGTGCAGAGACACACAGCTCAGACATGGAACAATAAAAGAAAATAAAACAATAAATGATCTTTCTTGATGTTCAAATAATGTAAACTTATATCTTATTTTCTAGGATTCTAATATTCCTGCTTAGTTAGAAAACATGGCCTAATCAGGTTTGGCGTGAAGAGGCTATGCAAACAAAGAGTTAGACTCTCTGTTGATATAGTTTAAGCAAATTGACATAGCACCTCACGCCTATTTAAATCACTAAAGCCAACATAGCCACCTGTCTCGCATCAAATACAGCTGAAATATCAATCTTCTGTCTTGAAAACCTTATATCCTCATGCAAAATCAACAGTTTTTTGTATATATAAAGAACATTTTCTACCTAGTTGTGTCATTTCCCTTCTTCCACATTTAGCTGGAGCCAAATTGTGCTGCAGATCTACCAAGGCATTGCATCACTCTGAGAACATGGAGAACTTGTTCTAAAAGACTCAAAGTAAGGACAAGAATAACTCCTTATTAGTCGCACACACAATGAAATGGTCTCTTAGCATAGACACTTTTTTTATTATTAACCAGTGCAAAGAAAGAGCGGGATGTCTGAGGCTTTGTATGAACAGCATGATGTCATCTCCTCTTCCTATGGTGCAGAATGAAAGCTTTGTCTTGCTGAGGCCAAGCTTGGTCATGTAGCTCACATGTGACATTCACAAAACACTCACAAAAATATCAACTCTGCGAGCTGTGATCTACTCAACAAACCACCACAGTGCAGATATTTTAAAGAAAAGGTCCACAGCTACCTGCTGTGTGTACCTCGTTGTTCTTGCTTTTAAATACTATATGGCTTGTGTAAGAGCTCCTTTGTCAGATGTTCTCATTTCTATTTGTAGCAGAACAGTCATTTAAGTATGTGGAAGTTTCCTCTTTTTGCTCCAGTTGTTTCAAACTGTTCAGTTACGCAGGTCAGATGAGTTGAATCTGAATTTTGTGTGTGTGTGTGTGTGTGTGTGTGTGTGTAGGTGTGTTTGTGCCTGGATGTCAGTATCAGCCATGTCTGTTTAGAACAAATAGATCCTGGGAAAAGGATTCCTTGTTTTCATAAATACGTAGAAGTGAGAACAGATGGATGGATTAACAAAATGTTCTCAGAGGGGGGAAAAAAAAGAAAGACATGGAAACTGGCATTTTTGACAGCTGTAGTAAAAAGTGGTGGTTAATGTTTTATAGAAAGAAAGGATTATTTGTATGTAAAGAATCCGCATAGAATCATCACCCAAGTCTGCCGTTTTCTCTCTGCTCTACTGAGAATTCGAGCTTCTGTCAACTCATTGTTTTGGTTTTCCGGCCTGTTATTTTACTTTGGTTCACTCACACTGCTCGTGTTAGCGACTGGGCGGGAGGCAGACAATGTCAGCAATGAGCTGGTAAACAGAGCCGAGCATTTAACAGCCAAGGAGCCAGATATTTCCCCAGGGAGCAGGAGGAGGCCAGAACACAGCTAAAAGAAGCATGATTATTAGACTTATTAGGCTTAAGTCATGGGGTGGACAAAAAGCAAAACTCTAGATTAATGCTAACGTTACTGCATATCTCCTAGACGTGTAAAAGGCAGCACTACTCCCTATCTGGTTTACCATTAAAAAGT